GGACGCTGTGACTGTCTGCCGATTTCAGCCAGCTTTATAAAGCTACGTTTTGTATTTACTGTAAAGCAGACGGTAAGTAAAACGTCAATATCGCAAAAGGTCACAGCATGCCAAACAAAAGGCAATTAAACCATCTTATTTAATTGAGTTACTAAGCCAGAACATGACTTCCAAGCAAACATATTTTCCTGCCGCCTCCGACATTCCTGCTTCCCCCCGAGCTTCCTCCACTTTCCTCCTCCCAGCATCCTCCCCAGTCATTTTCTGCTTATTAAAGAGTCTCTCTGTCAACCTTGTCCCATCTAATTCTCACCCAATTACAATCTAAATGAACCACAGGAATGCTTAACTTGCCTTGCATCTTCCATTTGTTTAATTTGTGATGGTAACAAACGCTCATTAGTGCACGGTAAAGGTTCATGAATGAAGCGCTCAAGGCCCAATTAATCACCATTCCCTAGGAAGATAAATGGGAAATATTCAATTGTCCCATATGGATCAAAATGACAATAATAACAACAATGTGGAAAGAATCTCAATGACTGCATATTTTCCAGACCGTAGCATTTTGACTACGGGTGGCTGTGCATCACGAGCCAGTGAAATGTCACTTACTGAGAATTTCTGTCTAAGCTAGCTGAAAATCTTTAGATGTATTTGTTATACTAAAGCAATTTTCACTACTAGCATCTCCGTTCCAGAGGTAAAAGTGGGCCAATCTGATTAATGTCATTGTCTCAACGTGTGGAGCATAGACACCACATTAAAGGGTTTACCAAAGAGGGAGAGAATGAGGGGAAATAAGAAGTACAGAAAATGAAAGGAAGGGTGGAGAAAAACGTACCAAAAAAAACATTTTATAGGAAAAAAAAGGAGAGGGTAAACTAAAAAATAAATTAACAATTGAAAGTAGGGGAAACGACCAGCCAAAGGGTGTGGATACAGACAATCCCAAAGAGCTACACTGATCATCATCCAAGGAAAAGGAGAGCAACACAAGAAATGAAATGCAATTGCCTGATTCTGACAGTGGATCTAGTTTAGCATACAAACAGGAAGTGGATAATTAGTCTCGAGAGGAAAATCAGCACACAGTAAGTGGGAAAGAAGGCCGATATTAGAGCAGCTGTCCTCAAATGGCAGGGCAGACACATTACAGACCTTTCTGGTGGCTGATGGAGATTTCCCCCCTGCCCTCAACGTACTACTGCATCACTTGTATCTATGGTATGTGTATATACATTTTGAAAAGCATCAATCATCTTGAAAAATATACATGTACAAAGAGAAAGCATCAGCATTCTATGAAAACCTGAGGATTAAAAATAGCTACTATTATAGCCTACCGAACCATAGGCCGATAACCTGTTCTATCGCAGTCCGACGAAAGCATCACGATATGTGAACCGATAACTGCAGCTTGCTAAAACCTGCTCAGGTTGTGTGGCCTGAGGGAGCTCAGACTGAAGCTATTAAATACCAGGCATTAGGGAGATATACCACTGCAGTGGTGAATAATGTTCTTGGCAATTATAGTATATTCTGTCAGCAGTGCTGCAGAGCCTTTCAGTAAGTCATACACCTTATATTGGTATGCTGATGCTGTCATCCAGACAGCCACAACAACAGGAACACACAAACATGTTTACACACGACATGCAGAGAATAAATGATACAGCAGGCAGGCACAATGAACAGCACATGCAAAGTGTGTGACCCCCTCCTGTGTGCTCTCCACCACACTCACAATTGGTTAGCTGTCAGTGCAGGTTGTTGGTTGGGTTGGGTACCAAACTCTGTGCTTTTTAAGGATGCAATACTAATGAAATTGGTACTACCAAGTTAGATTCAGCTTAGATGCAGAGAATAGAGGAAGAGAGAGAGCAGAATTCATGATGGAGACTACTGGATTGTTTTCACTCTCTATACGGAAGGAATAGTCAACATTCTTTAATATGCTAAATGGTGTATGATATGTTTTGATTTTGTGTGAAACCTTGATATGGAACCATAGTACGCAAATTGCCAACCATTTACTACTGATATTATATGTTCGTGATTACAGAGAGTACAACACCCAAGAAAGATGACGTTCATTACAGGTACCAAAACCCAGGTATGTTGAAGTGTAACCTATCTCAGTCACATTATGCTGTAGCACATTTAGCCTTCCATACACATCATTAAGAGTCAAACTAAATATTGCTGTAAAGATGCGACTGTCCACCATGATTATATATCCTATTATCACCTTGTCCATTGCAATGACTCTGAGACCTGACTCACATCAGCGAAAAGAAAAAACGAGTCCAGAGACAAAAAAGGCCTGGAAAGTTGTTGCTTTGGAAACTGTCAAATGTAGATGCTGACAGGAAATTAGACTAACTCCTCCCTTGACAGCAATCAATGAATCTAAAGAAGGGCAACTAAGCCATCATTATTGATGAACAAGCATAGCCTCCACATACTGTATAGTCAGATCTTCACATTCACAGACACGAGGAAAAGCAACAAATAACCACAAGAATCCAGAAAAAAATGACTTTGTCACTTTGACTCAAACTCCAGAGACAATTATTTAACTGATATGTTTATGTAAATCCAACGGCATGATCTTGATACATTGTCAATCATTTCTAAGGTTCCCATTAACATCCTGCGACTAGTTTTTCTGCCAACATATGCTTATCATTTTTTTCTTTTGCTCTATATTTCTTTAAGCTTTAATTAGCCCCATCCCCAAAACACTGATGCATTTATTTATATTTATTTTCTACGTAAACATATGTCAGCATCATGCACATATGTCAGCATCATGCACATATGTCAGCATCAACAACAGACTATAATAAAACACCTGTCAAAAAAGCCCATCCCATCGCATTTCCCATCAGGATGTGTTAAGGCAGCCGCAATATAATAGGCAGGTGAAGAAAACACATATTACCAGAAAACCAATTATCACTTAGAAAGCTACATTTCAGAAAATAATAGGATGTTATAAAAAAGAATTCAACTAACAAAAATCCAGAAGTAAAAACAATAAATAAAAACTTTGCTGCAATAGATGCTGAATACTGAACATGAACAAAATAACTCCTCTGGGTCATTTTTAGGGCAAATAGAAGCGAGCACGGAGAACTCCGCTCTGCAAGCAGAGAAGCAGTTTCTCACTCTGGAGATGAAGACAACACATAATAATGGGCCTAATGCTTCAGAGGAAGTCACTTGTCAAATAGGAAGCAGTCAGCCCTAGACATATTGCTGTTACAGTAACTTGCACATAAACCGCTCAATCTCGCAATAAAATACAGAAAAATATACACAGCGGGCAAAGAAAAACATGTGTGGATGCTTAGGCCATACACAACATGGAGTAAAAAGGAACAAACAACACTTCATCTTTATGAGTGAAGCCAATGCAGCTACATGACAACACCGTTCACAACCACTCTAACCGCCTCTAACAATTGATGTGCTGCATGGAGAAGCCACCTGGAGTAAACTAAAGGGTAAGCAACATTGTTGGTTGCCAGATAATTAAACCATAAATAATTTCAGGATTGATGCTTTGAAAACTGGATTAAAATGTAGTTACTTTCAACATCACTAATAGTGGACATTTACTTTATATGTGGAGCTTGAATAACACATTTTTGACACACATGTTGGCAGTAAGCTGCAGCAGAGGTAATATGTATCATTACATGTGTCCCTCAAATCAATAGAGAGTGGTACAAATAATTAAACAAACAGTAAGAAACTCTCCTAGTAGTCAACAAGTGGATACCACGTCTGCAAGGTATTAAACACAGAAAGTTACTCTACTTACAGGAAACAAAGATGTGAAGCATTTAGCATACATCAAAAATGCAGAGTACAAACAAAGAGCTTGATTGGTTGGTTGTCTTGATACTACTACTGCTATAATAAAGATCTCATTGGTGCTGGTATCATAACTCTGGCTGTTGCTTCTGTCACTCACATGATATAGCAGATTAGTCATTCATCGTGGAGTTATTGATGCCCGTTACTTCTCTATGCCTAAGTCTTATCAGCCAGACTAATGGGGGGGGGGGGGGGGGGTGAGGGTCATAAATGTGACTGATATTCCTTATGGGGCATCAACCGTCTGAGCAATCACTGCATTGTAAAACCGCCTGAGCCGAACAAACATTACTTAATCATTTCTGACAGGGGACTGAGGAGTGTTGACAGCTGAGTAATTATTCACCTGACAAATATATCCTTCAACCTATAGAGGAGTTGCCACCCGGCATGAGAGATTTCAGATGCTTTTACTCATTGTCTGTTGATTTGAAGAAGAATAGAAACATATGGTGGAGTTGAGTTTTACACTATAAATCCAAGATTCTCCTCTTTTAAAACGAGGCTATCTTTACATTATTACATTACATGTTACTTGTTAGACGCTTTTATCCAAAGCGACTTACATACTCAATACTGTGGGCAATCCCCACAGGAGCAATTTGGGGTGAAGTGTCTCAGAGACACAACGACATGCTGACTGCAGTGGGGTTTGAACCTGTACCCTGATCCGAACACCAACGCACTTGTCCACTGCGCCACAGCCTCCCTGCAACCAAATACACAAATGAATGCCTCCAAGTCCTTCAGCTGATTTGTTGGATCTGTTGGCATCCAATGACAACTGAGATGCTTTCATAGTTTGAAATCTGAGATGTTTTCAAAAGCTTCCACTGAGGGGAATACAGCAATAAATGTGACGCAAGTGGGATCTTTTCAAATTGTCATTGTTATATCATCATCATTAGAGGTCTTCTCCATAACACACTCTATGGTCTGTTTTATGAGACCCGTTTAGATTTGAGTAATTTTCCAGAAGCATTTCCCAGCAATCAGAAAATGGTATGCCGGAATAACAGAGACAAAGCAAAGAAAAAAAGATGTTGTCATGGAGCACAACATGGCATATTTTGAAAAATGCTGTTTGGTTTGAACACAGTAAGTGTACTCACATTGATCGATGTTCCCGTCTGCTTTCCCCTTCTCCTGCAAACAGAGAGCACACACAAAAGTGGTTATTACAGGTTCAAGGAGTGAGACAAAAACAGCCATTTCTGCAGCTTTTCGTGCACCATTCGTTACCGTGCCTTTGCTCTTTTCTCGGTTCAGAGAAAGACGACGACGGAAAACAAAAGGTGAATAGACAGAACGAGTGTGAAAAATGAAAGAACAGAGAGACAGAGATGGTGTGACAGAGAATATATATGACGGATTCAATTCAACCCTAATTGGAAACACAACAGGCTGCTAGATGGCAGTTGTCACTATATTGTGCTGGAATTGTAATCATGATGTCAAACAATTGACACCACAAAGATGATTTCATTCCTCAGTCCTCGCTGTGGTTGTGGTATTGACATGCAGCTTTACATTTATCTCAATACATGTCTTTCCAAATACTCTGTGTGGATGTGATTGGATGATATCCAAGTGAGGTATATCACAATTATCATTCAAAGTTAAACTAAAACATATTTGCTATATCAAAGATGTTCAGACTTAATCCACTGAAGTTAATAGGGAGACACCACACTGTACTGTATATTGGTGACGATAATATGACTGTTAAGTAAATATGAAGAAATAAATTGATTCATTTGTGGGATTTCAGCCACTTGTAATTATGCAAGCATGGCTGCGGACTAGGGACGCCAATAAAAAACAGCTTTTATCTCAACTGATGCATTTGCGCGGACAGTATGGTCACTTCGGGCCACAGCAGAGATTAAAACTGACTAACTGACAGAAGCCACAGACCACAATGCTCATAACCGTAATTGCAACAAAATATGTCTGAGAGAAAGACAGTATGATTACGTTACAACCATGGAATCTCTTGGTACTAGGGTGGACAATATAAAAGGTACGGTATGTTTACCAATTTTCCACATTTCGGTCTGGACTTGGTTTTTCCTTTTGTAAATGTTGTGTGGTGTTCCTGAACACCATGTCCTACCCACTAACACAACATTGTGTGCTTGTTAGTTACTGATTATTTGTGCTTATTACAGCACAGCGCTCTGCATACATGCATCTGAGCTGGAGACGCAATTGAACACAAACTGGCAAAACAAAGGATTGAAATGCTGTTTAAAAATAGCACAAAAGCAGGTCTTCTAATGCGACACAGCTCCTGGATCAGCCAATATGTGGCAGCAATTGAAGTGTTTTGACATTTTGCATTCTTGTCCCTCAGTGTGGATGTCACTGGTAATGAGGCTCAGTGATAAAACGTGTGTGAGTCTGCAAGGCCCTTTCAGCTTCCCAGAAGACGAAGAGCTTCAGGAAAAACACAGCAGTTTTAGTGCCTCCTGTCACTGCCTCCTCCTTTGTCTCCACATCTCTATCCCTCTGTCTTTCTGCCATCTGTCCGTCTTAATTGCAGACGTGCTTCCTCATGATGGCAGGATAAAATTGAGTGTGCTCATCAGCAACGCCTTCCATCATCTGGAGAGCTGCTGTTTGATCAATGGATTAGAGAATCAAACCAAGCATAGAGGTGAAAGACAGGCTATGTGCTTCTTTCTAAAAAGAATCATTTTTACCATGAGTATTCAGGGCCCTTTTCCTTTATACATTCAGATTGAGATGATTTTAAATAGTAATGATGAAAGGCAACTACAATCATGTCACTTGATAAGATAAAGTAGATGCATTCAACATAGGATTGGGAAGCAGATAATATGTTTCTCCTTCAATGCATTGACACAACATACATATAAATAACTTTAACACCATCATTTCATTTTAGGGCAAACCCACTGTGTTTCAATTAGGTGGGATCTGCGTTTCTCTATCATAATCCCTCTTTGTGATAGAGGCTGATTAGATGGCTGTATTATTATATACAATCTAAATGCCCAGTGCAGTTAGGATTATGGGATAAGATTATGATAAGATTAGGGATGCTGAAAGATGCACAATAGCAGAGACAGGAGATGTAATATATACCGTCTAACCTCGTGAGCCTGGGGCTGTTTTTATTCGAATTACACTTCCTCTTCCTTCTTATGCCTCTTATGGCATAGTTCCTACATGTTCCCAGCATGTCATACATTGTTATGTTCAGTGCATCTGAGGCTACTCTGACATGAGACATTTTAACGTGGACAAAAGGGTTGAAGGGGGTTTAGTTACCTTGAAGCAGCAAGTATGTGCACATTAGGAAAACATGTAATGAATGCATAACATGTAAAGGGACATGGAAGACCAAGTATGATCACCAGATGCCATGGCCTCTAACAAAAGGGTTTCATGATTTGTTAATATCATGATGTCGTTTTTAAAGTTTGTTTGTAGAGAAAACGGATGTCATTATACATTGCATGTTAATTAAGTGTTGTTAAACAATTTTTAACATACATGTCAGCCATCAGAAACTGATACTTGTATTGGCTGTGGAATAACTTGGAAAGAGTTGACAGACCTACAGTATAGCTATCTGGTTTCACATACTTAAGAAGCACTTAAAACAAAACACCTTAAATATCACGTTGGTTCAATGTTATTGATGTCAAGGCCTGTTTCAAGTTTGACTACTTTATTAGTTTCTGGGGGAGCAATCAATAGAGATAGAGAAGAATACACATTCAAAAAGATGTTTATAGCCTCTAGAAAAATGTGAACAAACAAATCTCTTAGTGCTACATGCCTCCATCTTGGAAACCATAAACCCACACATAAAACAAGAATCTGACATTGCGGCCACAGAGACAGACATTTTGTAGGAATGCAATTTGAACAGCAGGGCAGTTCAAGTTGTGTCTAGTACAAAGTGTGCTTCAATATTTGTGTTCCCCCCGCTGCAATAGAGGCCCTCTTCATTCAAGGACCCATATGTTTATTTGTCTACACTTAGTTTCTCTGGTTTTTAATCCCAGTAAACATCAAAACTCTCTGCTAAAATCAGCTGCCTGTATGCCAACATTGCATTGCAGTTTTACTACTTATAAGCAGTAGCTTTTCATAAGTCATTGTCTGATATGTGACGCTTATTGATTATTTGAACTTTATAAGATACTGCCCGATTAGGATGAAAAGGCAGCTAGAGAAGCAGGAAAGTAAAGCTGAGTCCATCAGTGTTTTCACAACAGCCTTTCTACATTCAATAATATGTGATCCCTGATGTCTGTTACTTAGAAAAGTTGGCTTTCTTATCTAGAGTAATCCATCAGTGCACCAACAAACTACTTAATGAGCTGAACGAATAGGAGCCAAAAGAAGAAAAAAAAAAATGTTGGCAATGTATATGAGTGGCAATACCTTCAAAGGCTTAACTTTGATTTATCTGAAAATAGAATTAAAACCCAAGACATTCCAGCTATTTCCCTGCATCAAATAATAATGTACATGTAATAATGAACATTATTTCCAGCAATGTTCACTGGCACGATCTCTCCTCTAAACATCTTCATTTATTTTAAATTGTCCCCAGCTTCGCTAACTTACTCTTTTGATATGCTACTAAGATACAGCACTTGTTCGATCAATGTTCAACCTGCCCACATTTCTGCTTGAAGAAAAAAAAAAGAACAAATGGAATATATGTTCTTTTCATTGCTGTTTACATTTCTATCAAAAATGATGGAAGCTCAATGCCTATACAAATGTCTCTTTAGTGTTTGGTACATTTACAGTGGCACGTTTTATGTACTGTTTTAAACAAAAAACAAGAAGTACTTTACACCGTTTTTCATTGTTTTTGTTTCTTATTTGAGGATTCAACACTTATATTTCACTTAATTTAAGAATATATTCAAACATCACATGGTGTACTCCCTTAGCTAGTATGCACAAGCTATTGTAATGGCTCCTAGCTGTGTTAAACCCACAGTATACACTTTAACTCAGTAGAATAAAGCATGTTCTGAAACGGGCCAGAGGGTTGTGCTGAGAAAAGAAGGTATCCCCTACCACACTATAATTAAAGCAGAGAAAGGAGTATTATTCTTCATATTTTCTTCAGCTTTGAGTACAAGCTCTCAAGAGACTTGAAAAAACCCTCTGGGACCACAACAAAAACTAAAGCTATGTACAAGTCATAATCAATGTAATGTAATGTAAATGTAGTAGGGGGTAGCCCCACTACTGGAAATAAAAACACAACAGAAAAACATGCGTTCCTGGAGAGAATACTTTGTTCATTATTTTCCTTTTTCAATGTTCCTGCATTTATTCTTGATTCATTCAATCCATAAACCTATTCCTCCTAAACCCTTCATCCACTGAACACATTTCCGCCTTTCTCTGCGTTACAGCAAAACCAATTTACTGCTCCACTATTTTCCCACTTCATATGGACCACTCCCGAGCCAAATTACAATCTTCCCGTCAAATAAGCAGTCTATAAAAAGCCCTATATGTTCATCAGTGTTGCGTTCAGAATGCTGCGAGATTTATCATTACCAATACAAGAATCCTGAACCAACAGCTACTGCCCCATCACAGTGACACGTTAAGAGAGTGGTCAGATGAAGCATTTGGTATTTTGTGTGCACTGTTTAGTTCAAAAAAGAGATGAATTATTGCAAATAGTCAACATTAAACTGTGTCTTTCAATTGTATCAAAGCTGACACCAATACAGTATGAATTGTACATTACAGAGATCTTGGTTTCTCTGAAGGTATCCAGGAAGCTTACAAGAGTAAAAATCAAAGGCTTTCATCTGGACTTTTTTCTTTATTTCACACTCTTCTATTTTTGGTCTGTTACACTGCTAAGATGTCTTATTGTCCCTCTGTCTTCATGTTTGTTTGTTTTTCAGGGTTGGGGTATATATAAAGAAAATGAAAATCTGGCATAACTTACACATCACTAAAGGCTTTAAGAATGCATCCTGCATAATCATGTGAAGGCAGAAATTCGGAAGATTCTCCCCGGGGTCGACTTCAATTTCTGGTGCCAATTGAGAGCTTTTTAAGTTTCAATTCTGGCCAGATAGACACAGGGAGGAATGCCTGAGAATTGAGTCAAGGGAATTCAAGGGACACAACCACCAGGGCAAAATTACATTCCCCTTCCTGCTGCCAACTTGGCAACACCCAAGACCCAGACTTAGAACAAACCAGGGGGTGTACATGCTTCATTTCACGAAGAACTAGGACGACCGCGGGCTCTGTGGTATGTGTCTGTCTGTGCGTATGTCTTTCTGACAACCTGTTAGGGCTTTATGTGTCTGTTATGCAGAGAACATTTGTTCAAGGCTTAAATATTGTTGGCAAGGACCTGCTTGCTCAAAGGACAAGTCGTTTTCCCTCTCTTTAGCCTGGGAATCTCTAGTGTGCAATCAGGATAAATGCAACCAGGCAAGCTCATGAGTGTTTAGGCAATTATCCTTTAACTGTTGCGTAACGATTAACAAACAAAGCTGGGTTTTAAAAAAGAAATACACAACACAAGAAGTTGAAGTAAAGCTACTTGCTTGTTGTTGTAATAATTAACAAAAGTACAACAAAGTTCACATTAAACACAGGCACCAACCTGCTAAACTTTAGCTGCAAAATTGAGCAACAAATGAGTTTTGTTCGCCTGCTTCACTTCATTTTCCTCACCACTCTGATTTGCTTTATGGTTGATATGATTGATTTATATCTCTGTAAAGTGTTTTTCTAGCTTGATAGAGAGTGAAGGTGATGTCCTCGTTCGGTAGCAGTTTAATGTGTGTGCATGCGTGTGTGTCTGTGAGTTTGGACAGGATATTTACCATGGCGTTTGGTTCCTGGGAGGAGCTACGTGGCATTGTAGCTGAATGAACGCTGCCTCTCCTGCTGGTCTTGAGCCCTTCAGCCAGCCAGCACCCTGAGGTGCCCAGCAGAGCGGCCACAGCCCAAACACACAGGCTACCCATGAGTGCTTACCTGTATGGAAAAGTACAAAAACAAGGCACACAACATTTAGACTCAATTATGTGGTAAAGTTTCTATTGATAAAACAAGTGACAAGCCATTTTCGTATTCATAACACATAATCGTATTTATGTTCTGTTATCAATATAAAATGTGTATTGGTTAATTTAGTGAATAAACCATTTTAAAGATGTCTGATCTGTGATTTTATTCTTTCCTTATACTATTTGTATGCAAATTAATTAATGACTTTCATGGGAGATAATAAAGACTGATGATCGAAACTCACTTTCAAATCAACTCGTGTTTATAGTGTATGTGATCTTGTCTTTTTTATGTGCAATAAAATAGATACAAATGTTGCATGAATGTCTGCAGGGTAAGTGAGACAGAGGAGAACACATTTCAGAGTTGAAAGCGTCTTGAATCTGTCGATATCTCAAGGCAAGACATGGCGAAAGAAAATATGTTATGCCATAAAGAAGGCAAATATTTACAGGCTAAAAGAGAATAGCAATAACTCAATAAAGCTGTGTGAAAAGCATCTATTACTGATATTGTGTCATTTTCCAAGGCTTCTTTGAAATCCTGTGATATACAGCTCTGTATTTTATACACCCAATATTATGTTCATTCACACACGGTTACACACAATGGATCAAATATTGTACACTCACACAAACTGAGCACACACAAGCACATGAACACACCGCATAATACGGCTATGTGAGCATCAAAGCCTTCACTGATATAGATAATTATCTGTATTACAAAGGACACAGAACATCTTTTGATGTCAACAAAGAGACAACCCTCTGAAGTCGCAATTGGGGGAGTGGGAATGAATTCAGCAGATCAATTTCCCTGCTGTGACAAAGAGACCCTGACACACACACACACACACACACACACACACACACACACACACACAAATCACATTCAAATCTTCAGAAAAAAAATAATACATATATCTCAACTGTTCTGATAAAAGCACCTGAATAAAAGCTGCAGTGAAACATTATTTTCAGGTAACGCCTTGTTCCTGAATAATATTGAAAATGGCAAGCATGCATTTAACGATTAAATGTTAAAATGTGTTTAATGGTGCTACTCTGGAGGACCCATAAGCTCAAGGGTGAATAAACCAGACAGCTATTCATTTCAGCTGCAATAAGATCACTAAATCATGTTCATAGAGGAATAAAGTCATAATAATATGACAACCTCTCATTAAAGCGCAACCCAATACACCAAGCACACACACTACAGACACATTAAATAGTAGAGTAGCAACAAATAATGAAATCATATCTGCTTTCCCAAACATTATTTATTGCAGGGATATTGTCCTTGGTTTGTGCTGCATTGCACTGGTTTGTTTTGTATCTTACATCTTTAAGAAAAGACTTGATAAGAAATATTTATTGGACTCCATCAAAGCACAAACATCTGTTGTGTCTAATCAGCTGATGTGGATCGTTATGTGACACAGCAGTTTGTTATGTGTGTGTTTTTGCACTTTAGAGTAATCTGTGTTTATTGTTTTTATTGTGGTCTTAAACTTTATTATGGGATTTTATTTTGTATTTTACAGCATCGCCAGTCTGAAAACAAATGTCCCTTAGCGGGCCATAAAGTGTGCAATTGAACTGAAAGAAGGGTGTGATGCATCTCAAACAGCGCAGGGGTTTGTGGTGTTATGTGTCCGCAGCATCTCCTCACTAGAATATTTAATATTGAAAGGGTGTTGCGATTCACCTTGACCTTCACCTTGATCACGTCGTCCTGCTGCCTGCAAATGTGCTTTCTGCTTTACATATCAATTTTTGCATTTTGCAATAAATAAATAAACACATATTTTGAAACATATCATCATATTAATACACTGATAAGATGAGACACTTTGCAACTGTAATGAACAGTATTTGTCAAAGAGAAAATCATCTTTTTCTTTACAATATCACAATGAGAGTAGAAGAGACAATCCCATTCATATCATATATCATCATGTATCATCATTTATCATATAATCAATGTGCTCCACTATTTTCAACGGCTAGTCACCTCCTTTTTCATAAGAGCTTTTTCATTGAAAACCTCTGGCTGCATCTGTAAATGAGCTTAATAAAAGCATAGACTTGAGCAAGAAAACCGACATTGATCCAAAATACGAGAAAGTGGATGCAGGAAGAATTGCCCCTGTCGTTATGAGGATCACTATGTGTGATCATTTGTATATTGATTATTAGAGTATGTATGACCCAACTCCTACAGTCCATTTACTCTCATTTTTCAACTTTCTCTCGCAGCCCTTTTGAGGAAACTGAAGCTGGCCTAGATGTCAAACTTTGAGATGTGTTTGAAAGCTAGTAAGTGGACTCGTAAATAAACGTTTTCTTGTTACACATAGAGCTACCAATTGGACACGAATGAATTAAGTATGCTTCTGAAATTATAATCTGCAAAATAATGAGAAGTGTCAAATAAGTGCTGTAAAACAATATTTGTGACCCGCTCTATCAAAATCAGTCGGAAGTCGCAACGGCTCATTTCAAAATAAACGTGGATTTGTGTAAATAACTAGTTTTTCGGGGGTTCGGGCGTTTTGTTTGATTTTAAATAAACAAAGTCTTGTCTTTCAGAATATGAAACTTTTATTGCCAAAATCTCCCGTTAAATACATTTTTGAAGCTTGTAAAGGGACGATGACACAGGTACCTCTCAACTCGCACTCGGCTCTTCCGCTGCACCGCCCCCCTCCCTCCGGCTGAAATTATGAAGTAAAGGCGTATAGTAATCATAGATAACACGGCAGGGTCCGTTACAGTTTGTTTTCATCTGATTCCAAATAAACAAAGTCTTGGCTTTCAGAATATGAAACTTGTTTCGGCAAATTCAGATGATAAATATAACTTTGAAGCTTGTAACGGCATAATTACAAGCGGAGGACGGAGTAACGTGACGTCACAGCAGGCATAACAACAGCCGGTGTTTCTCGTGAAGGTTTTCCCCGGGAAACAAACGCAAAAATACACAAACACACACACACACTCGCGAGCTTCCCCCAGACCAGTAATACAAGCGAAAATATGTTTCCTCCGTACTACTTTGGTCATTTATTAGCCGCTAATAATCAGATCGATGGATTCTAGGGAAGAGGAAACTTTGAAAGCCTTTTTCTCAAAATGATGACTCGGTTGCTTAATATTTGGAGTACAACAACAATCCTGATATCATTAGAAAGCTAGGAATCTCCTCTTTACAACAGTGTATATAACTAAAAATGTGTCTTCAGGTCAATGCGACTGATTTAGATGGAGCAGGTCACATTTGTGTAAAACATCATGGAACATCATTTAGCAAAAACAAAAATTCCCCTAGAAATCACCTTTATTATAATATGTAGCTATATCTTCTTTGCAGCACTGCTAACCATAGGAAATAAAGTCCTGTCAGTGTTTACATCATTCGGCAAGGAACCACCAACATCCTTCAGCTAGCTAGCCGGAGGCTAAGGGCCCTCACAGATGAAAGCTCTCTCTTGTTAAATTAAACACCAAATGAGATCTGCCAGTCACTATCTTAATGTGTGGCCTGGCCTCCTGGTGTTGGCCTACACACAGCTCAACACACTTTGTTCATTTGGACACACACAAACAGAGCCTTGGGGGTGTGGATTGAATGGTCCATTTTGAAATTCATCAGGAGGGAGAAAGTCTATTATTCGACCAGCATATTAAAAAGCTTAAAGAGACAGAGTGTCCCTTTTGGCAGCTTTAGTCAGATCAGACTGCTTCAATGTACTTGTATTACAAAAAGACTCAATATGCCAAACATTAAATATAATCTATTCACATCCAAGCTACCTTCAAGCCCTATCTCCACTTTTTCACGTTTCTTTCTTTCAGAACTTCACATTTAAAAGGCACAAAAGTACTGTTGGGCACTGAAGAGTCCTGCAGAGCGACCTGCAGCTTCTTCCAGTCGCTTACTTTCTGGAAGTTAATTTCATTTTCTTTGTATGTCTTGCAGGTAAAGAGGAAAGTGCTTTTTAAATTATAACCTGAGCCACGTAATTAAATGAATCACAAGCTTGTAATAAAAGGTTTAAAAATGAAAAAGTGAGAAGGAACAAAAGGGACGAATACAAAACAGGAGGAAATGAACATGACGTACAGAATTGTGAGGGACTGACGTGATATACATACTGTATAAACTGTGAGTATTGTATTAAGACAGACTTGTTGAGTCCAATAGGGAATAACAAATGATAACTTGTAGACCGTACCACATTTTGACTTTCATTGGTTGTTTGGGTTGCTGACAATCCAGGAATTGAAGATCTATTCCATATATTTAAATTTAATTAAACTAAAGGAAGAAGTCAGCTTAATGCCTGAAATGTGCAGCGCTCGGGTTCAGTAAAGCACCATGCTCACCATCACGTTTTAAGATGGGGCATTTGGAGCAAGGTGACATCTCACAAGCCTTTCAGACGCATCAGCGACATTCAGACTTGTTTCTAGGTCGAGGTAAAATATTAATTTTCACCCACTGTTTAATTTTGAATGACTGCAAAGGTTTCTTAATGCATGCATGGATAGGCACATGGAGACACACACACAAACACAGAAACATTGACATGATCATTCCTCAAGGCAGGAGTCTGGTCTCATGAAGATATGGGATTGTTAAAGATGTGAAATGTCTCAGACCTGCATGAGAGCATTTGAATGATTAACGTTTGAAATAGGTTTCATCATGATTGAGTTTCCTTTCAATACTTCTAAATGAATCGTAATGTGTGAGAGACTATTCAAGAGGCTAATATGAGTATATGAGTTGACTTTAGATTTAAGTTGGTATTCTGCATTTAAACATTAGAAATACCTTATCTATGTTTTTCTAACAGCTCAAAGTTACTTTGTGTTAAGTTGTTGACCAAACAATACACCAGTAAAAAAAAGTGATCTCACTATTCTTTAAAATTGTTTAATGATTATATTGTACTA